ATCGCCCTTAGGTTGGAGGCCATCGCCCTTAGGTTGGAGGCCATCGCTTACTAGGTCTTAGGTTGAGTGCCTGTATGAACTGTTTCGCTTGTCTTTGGAAAAGTCGAAACATCGCCGAAACATTGCAGTGCCCTCCCAGGCGTGAAAGGTGATGCATTTTTCTGACGGGATAGCTTAAATCGTTTCAAAGCCAGGTTCGTGTGGAACGCAGACTCAAATAAATATAGGAGAAATGAAACCAGCATTTTTGGCATCTGGAGTGCAGTTGGAACCACAATTTTCAAGGCTCTAGAACTCCGGTCTGGGTTAACATTTCTGTCGAGCGGTTGGAATATTGGAGCCACTAGACGTGATCGCTTTCAACACGAAATCACCACTATGAAAACACTGCAAAACTGTGTGGCTATGCAATGCTACCGGGAGTCTTTCTTTCTCATGTGCATGTCGTGTCACGTCTCTGTCGAACCCCCAAAGTCCACCTTCTCTTCAGCCAGGTGGGACGTCCCTGCACCGGGTGTGGCCTGGGGTGAGCTGCACGACGTATCAGGCCAAGCAGGACCCCTATTGAACGATGAACTCGCATTATAGCAGATTTCAGGTTTGAACCCATTTCTTGATTCGTTTGAAGGAGTCATCTTCCACCAGACTAGAGGACAACTTGCTGGAAGTGCGAGAAATCAAAGTCAATCAAGCGAAGGGGGTAATAACTGATGAGTTTCCCTCCTCCGAATCATGGGACCCTCGCCCACATTGAAATTTTCGAGGCAACATTTGCGAAGCCGCGCGTGGAGCCTTCTAGAATGCATACTAAGGTCGTGCGCATGAGCCTTCGTGCGAGGCTGTGGTGGTCTGAAGGAAGCGAGTAAACACCGCAGCTGAACCCCAATACTCCCTCCTTGTTCCTTTACATCGATCGACGATCAGTTTGTTCTCAAAGTCCTTCACCTTCTTTCTCAGTTTCGATGATATTTTTGTATATTTTTTGGTTTGTTTTTTTTTAAGACTTACATTTTTAGGCCCGTTCCCCCCTCCCTACTTAGGTAGCTAGTAGCAACAAGAACGCTTCTACGGACTGGACGGTGGATAGTGTTACTAGCTACCTTTTCTACTAGTTACTACCTCTACAGCCTACCCCCAAAAAACTCTCCCGGCAAGAGACCCCAAACAGTGTGAGGTCTGCAAGCAGAAAGTCTAGCGATCTAGCCGCATTGGGGTCCAGAGAGGTGATGGTGGTGGTGGGGATCGTGAGTGAGTGAGTGAGAGTGAGGGTGAGAGAGTGAGCATCTGAGAGCGCAAAGTGCTGCGCCCAAGTGCTGCGCCTGAAATGCTATGCATGCCACGAAATCTGCACTTCGAGTGAAACACAAAGTGCTGCGCCTGCCATGCTGCCACGAAATCTGCGCATCGAGGGTCACAAAGTGCTGTGCCTGCCACAAAATCTGCACTTCGAGGTTCACCAAGTGCTGCACCTGCCACGAAATCTGCACTTCGGGGTTCACCAAGTGCTGCGCCTGCCACGAAATCTGCACTGCGAGGTTCACCAAGCGCTGCGCCTGCCGCACTTCAGGGTTCACCAAGTGCTGCGCCTGCCACGAAATCTGCACTGCAAGGTTCACCGAGTGCTGTACCTGCCACGAAAACTGCACTTCGAGGTTCACCAAGTGCTGCGCCTGCCACGAAATCTGCACTTCGAGGTTCACGAAGTGCTGTGCCTGCCACGAAATCTACACTTTGAGGTTCACCAAGTGCTGCGCCTGCCACGAAATCTGCACATCGAGGGTCACAAAGTGCTGTGCCTGCCACGAAATCTGCAAACGAGCTACATGTCCAAAAGTCACGATTCACTGCGCCTGTCACGAAATCTGAGCGCCTCGACGATCACCACCATGTGCTGCACCTGCCACGAAATCTGCACTTCGAAGTAAAACCGCTCCGATCAGCACCAAAACACGAGGCCACGAAAAGTCACCACCATGTGCGAAAATGTGCACAGCGCCACAACGAGAGCGCAGTCGCGACAAGCCGCAGAGGCCATCGTTTTGTATGTTCAGAGGCCGCGGAGGCGGGCCTCGTGTGGCCCTGACAAGGTGATGGAGGCCGCGGAGGTTTGGAGGCCTCGTGTGGCTCTGACAAGGTGATGGAGGCCGCGGAGGTTTGGAGGCCTCATGTGGCTCTGACAAGGTGATAGAGGCTGCGGACACCCACGGGGACCCGGGGTACTATATTCTTTATTAAGTGAATGACCGAGCAGTGCGAAGGTGGATCCCCGCCGCGGGCCCCAGATTCTGCGAGCCTGCGCAGTCGACGATTTCGAGAGGCATGAATGTACTGCAAATCGCAGCGAACTAGCCGGGCAGGGCCGCGCGGCGCACCGATCTAAGCGCAGCTGCATTTTTTCTACTACCGCAAGAACCCCTAGTGTGTCCACACTGTTTGGGGGAAAAAATGAAACGCACAAATCCAATCGATCCGATTCACCGTAACCAAGGGGCAGCGTGGGATTGAAGGGATTCGATTGCCTTGGTGACCTGGCACTCAAATCGGCTCTGTCCTAGAAGCGATGGCCTCGAACCTAGCGATGGCCTCCAACCACCATGCAAAAAAGCTGGAACCTGAGAAACCTTTCGTGGGGACCCATGCATCTGGCAATCAAAAGCACCAGTGGGAGAAAATGTCCAGGATTTTGCAGCGTGCAGTTCGGCACTCGGTATCCACAAAGCACGCCCTTAACACGATGTAATGATATTACACCGATGCCCTTGTTACTAGTAGCGATACCCTTGTTGTTCTCTTTTTGAACACATTTCATGTTGCGTCCAGAGAAAAGTCCCGTTGGGCCCCACTTCCTGGTCCTCCACATGCTCACAGGAATCAACCAGGTGAACCCAAGCCTCCATAATGCACCCCCAAAGCATCAAAAAACACTGAAGGCCGTCAGTCCTTCTGCAAACAAGCCGGACTGGCCATCGTGGCCTTGGCAAATTGAATGACTCTCATCACCGCCCAGAAAGTCAGAAAAGAAGAAGAAGGTAAGGACCTCTTGACGGTAAGGTAAGGACCTTGTTAAAGAGGCCCTTACCTTCTTTGTTTCTTGTCCTCTGATGTATTCTGAGGTCAAGAAAGGAAAGTAAGGGCTTCTTGAATGAGGCTCCCTTTACCAAGCGACCCTGGTATCACTCAAATCTTTATCCAACCAAGCCTTCTTTCTGGATATCCAAAGAGGGTCTATATGCACACACTGTCGGAGCCTTTGGTTTTGCCTGGGTGCTTTCCATTGGCAACAAGTGTTGGCAGCCATTGTGCGATTGTGCCACTAAATGCAGATGTGGCGGGGTGCTCTGACACTTGCTGATCGCAATTCATGGTTTGCTGCTTGCAAGTGGTTCAAGTGTTTGGCAGAAACAATATTTTTGGTCTACCTTGGTGGACAGAGCCGGTGGAGCCGAGCTCGGGTGGATCCGCTACAAGCTGAAAGCGCTAACGTTGGAAAAAGGTTTTAGTGATACCCGTGTCGCTTGGTAGAGGGGCCATATTCACGGGGCCCTTATCTTCTTTTTTCGGATCTCGGAAAACGTCAGAAAAAAAGGCAAGGGTCTCTTTCATAAGGCGCCAATTTGTTTAAAGGATTCCGAGATCAAAAAAGAAAAGCAGGTAGGGTGCCTTCTGACAGAAATGCTTTGCGTTCATTTGTATTCTTTTCATTCCGAGATCTTGTTTCATTCTCGATAGAATCTGAATTTCTTAGGTTGGAGAACATCGCTAGTAGGTCGGAGGCCATCCCTGTTGGGTGGGAGGCCATCGCCAGAAGGTTGGAGGCCATCCCTAGCAGGTTGGAGGCCATCACTCTTTTTGGCTTTGATTGGAAGGCTGAGAGCAAATCAGTTTTGCATGGCCTCAGCATTCAGGGATTCAGGGATGAGGTCATGGTGTGGAATGCTGCCTTGAACTACCCAGGCCCAGAACACAAGGGTTATCTCTCCATTGATGACCGCGCTTTGCTTCTTCCTTTGTCAAAGAGGAGCTCTGGAGTGATCCCTGTCCTTCGTTTCCTTGGAGGCTCATCGGATGGGGCTTTGCACGCCAGCTATTAGCTGAGGCAGATGTGCCTGTAATGTCTGGTTGCATTGAGGTTGACTACCACGCTGCCCGGACGTATGCGTCACAGGTGCCCACTTTTGTCGTCGAGCCAGGAGCTACCGCCTCTGAGTCTTCTGTCCTTCCCCGAAGGCTTCTGCATCCATGGCATTCTGGATGATCAATGGCTGGTGGGGGGTTGAAGTTGTGACGATATCTGCCCCATGCCCCCCTGGTCAGGGGCGGCTGGGCAGAAAGGCCTCCACACAACTGATGGGCAGCTGTTCATGTGAGCGAGTGGTGTTTGCAAGCTCCTTCGTCCCAAGATCATTTTACTGGAGCAAGTTGAGGCATTCCACTCCCACCCTCACAGAAGTTGGATAGAGAAAGCTCTCTGGTTCTCTGGGTACCAGTTACAGTCTGCACACGTCACCGAGTTGAGCGACATCATGCCAGTCAAGAGGGCCCGCTGGTTATACTGCCGGGTCCCTGAAGCTGCCATTCAACAGACCCAGTCATGCCCATTGGAGCGGGCCTCAATATCCAGGAAGAAGTGCTCAGCGGATGAGGCCATTGCTTCGCGCGCTTCCCAAGCCACTGCCAAGTGCCTGCCGACGTTTATGGCGCAATACGGCCATCAGCGTATTTACTTTGCATACTTGCATCGAGACCCCCGTTCACTGCCACTCGAGGGGGGCCATACCTGGATCCGACGCAGTCGGCAGGTCATTGTCGATGGCGGGCCGCTCATGTTTCCAGTGCGGGCACGCGCGGAGGAGGCCGAAGATCTTGGACGGCCACAGCTAGTCTCAAATGCGTCCTAGCGCGCAGCGCGGGAGTGAGAACCAGACCATTGCAGGCACGGAGCTTCCGAGCGCACAGCGCGGGAGTGTCAACCAGGCCTTTGCCAGCACTTCCGAACGCTGCCCTATGGCAGCTTTCTGCTGCGCAGCAGTGGCTTGCCACCTCGCGCAGAGCGACCCTGCGATTCTTTGTGATCTTGGCAACTTTCAACTTGCGAAGAAGGCGATGTTGGGTGTTTCGACAGGCGCGAACATCACCGGGCCCAGTCACATCTCTATTGAAGCGGAGCTCAAGCTCCCGCAATGATCGCAGTACAGATTGCAGCAACAACAGGTGCGGTGAGGCAAGGTCACCATTAGCTCCTTGGTCAGCTGAGGCTTGAACTTTATGAAACTTGGGGATCTTTCCACGAGTGCGGGGCCCTCTCTCCCAGCTTGCTCCATTGAGGAGAAGAAGCTGAACTGCGTAGGCATTAAAGACATCCCATTTAGCGTCAGCATCCGTAGCAGCGTTGAAGTCAGGTGCATAGCTATGCCAGAGCTGCTCACTGAAAACATTGATAGGACACCCTGGATCATCAGGTTCAGCTCGTTGGATATTGTCCAAGTTGAGCTTGGCCGCACGCTGCGTCATGGTCCCAACTTGAAGAATCCGATCCCACATAAAGGTAGCCTTGACTGGTCTATGTTGACGGTCACGATGGTCAAGGACTTCAATGTTGAGCAACGCTGTCAATGCGGTTCTGTTCAACAGAATACCATCAATGGATGACTGTCCATCGGCATCGCTGGCTGCTGCAGTTTGGAAGAAAGTACATGGTCTTACGACGTCACCCTGTTCATCCGTCTGCAGCAAAGGATCTGCCCAGCCCCAATGGTCAAGGGCAAGCTGAACGGCTGGGTACATTCCAGGCTCCATCTGGAAATCGCCGGCGGTGAGGATAGGAATGTCTCCAAATTGCGCAGCGACAGCAAGCATCATGTCAAGAAGCTCATTGTTCCGATTGAATTTTGCCCTCTCAGATGCCGCGTTAGCAATGGCGTAGAAGTTAAAGGCCAATAACTTCACTCCAGCCGCCGCTTGGTGCCATGTAGCTGTGACCCTGGCAGACGAACGAAGCACAGCCCAGGTGCCAGAATGGTCCAGACCCTCATCAAAAAGTTGGGTGAGCTCGCTCTTTGCACAAGTTGCTGTACCACCAGAGGGGATGCGGAATGTGCCATTGCTAGCCCTAACCTTCTGAAGAGGTTGAGAGCAGAAGAGCTTGAGATGGCACAGGGCTGCTTTGCCTTGTGACTCCGCCATGTTGGACTCAGCCACCCTGGCCTCTTGCATCAAAAGGGCATCTGCATCCCAGTGGAGGCAGTTGTAGTTCGTCGCAAAGGAGTCGACGTTAACTGAGATGACTGACCATTTAGGCCCTTCACCAGGGTAGCCCAGGGCCATGTCAAAGTCATAGCAAACCCAGGTATGTTTGGGTGGCAGCCATCCAACTGTATTGAGGTAGGGAAGAGATGGAATCCCCACCTTCTCAAACCATCAAGCAAAAGGAAGTGCAACGGTGTCACGCAAGCATTCTGAATTCTAGCATCAACCAATGACCGAGAGGCCCCCTTCTTCGCCAAGAAGCGGAAGTACGACATCGCCATTGATGAGCCCACATGCAAAGCGTACCACATACCAACACAAAAATGATGCTGAACATCGGCCCAATGGTAGTGGCAGCAAGGAGGCCCTGGGGCCCGACCACGACATCTTGAAGCACACATCGCACACATTCCCCAGTGTGAGCAAGCAAAGTGGGTGAGCCCACAAAGAATAACCCATTGAAAAACTGGCCGCTGAGAACGACCCAATGGTAGAAGCATCCAAAAGGACAAAACCACGGCATGGGCAACCTCAACGATGCTGCCAGCGCAACAATTCACGATCTGAAAGCAGATCAACCGCATTTTGGAGCAGCCAGCAGCAAGACAAAGCTTGAGGCCAGCTGCTCTGGCAAAGCGCTTCTGCATTTGTCAGGCCGCCCGGTGGTGTTTAACCGGGGGCGGTGTCTCTCCATGCTCACGATGTCGTGGCTGCACGCATTGGAGAATTTGACGCAATTGGTCTCCAACTTGCCCAAATTGATGGTCGACCTTCTCGCTGAGGTTCTCGTGCTTCTGTTCCAATCGGCCGACCTGCTCCTCCAATCAATCTATGCGCTCAGAGTGAATCTCCTTGAAGACAGTGCCACGGGAGGAAGCATTGTCAGGTAGGCTGGTGTTACCAGCTTTCGATTTCCCTTTGCCCTTGCCTTTGACAGGCGTCTTGTACGAGACCGGTGTAAGCAAAATCTCAAAGGTTTTCTCATTGACCCTGACCGAAAACTTCGAGACTGAAGGCACCTTTTCAAAAGAGAGCGTCCAAGCGCAGACCCCAGCCCGTCGAAATGACCTAGTTGGAATGCATGGGACTTTCGTGGCTTGGTGGACAGCACAGACCATGTCCTTTGCGAGAATTTCTGACGGCCAGCCCAGACTATCCATATTCACCTTGGGCACCATGGCCTTGTTGATGGTGCAGATCCTGTCATCTTGCGGTAAAAGGAGATCCCTGGCCGTGGCAAGGGCATCAGTGGCGAACCTAGGTGCCAAGCCCCGTTTGGTGACAGCAATTCCTCGATACCCAGTGATGGTAGATGCAGCTTTGATGAGATCCGCTTTGTTGGGCCGGTCGATAGGCCAGAAACGAGGAATGATGGATAGGTCCTGAACCTGCTCTCGTTTGGCCACAAAGTCACGGACAACCAAATCACCATGTCCACTAGCGGACAGCAACGGAATACGGTGCTTCTGTTGGACCTTCAACAAGCATTGATGGACAAGGTCGTGCTTCTCTTTGGACTGCTCCTGCACCGCTCTGTATCCATAGATGGCAGCATGGCCCCAAATAGGGTCCGAGCACACCTCTTTCAGCTGAGCCTTGAACTTGACCAGAGGGTTATCATAGAAGGCTTGGAAGACGTCTTTAGTGGTGAGTCGAACATCGCACTCCAAGACAATCTCACAAACTGCAGCCAAGGTTAGCGTGATCGAAGGTGTCGGCAAGGCAAAATGTACCTCCGGCGTGACAACCAAAAGGTGTACTTGCCTCTTGTACTCCTGGTTCAAAGCAGGATCAAATACAATCACCTCAAATGGACCAGAAAGATTCGGGAGCTTTGCCAAAGGATCAGTAGGATCGATGAGCGGCACAAGCAGAGCGCACGGCTCTTTGGGGGTCAATTCCCTCGCTTGTTAAAGGTTCCCTTTGGAAACAAAAGCAATCCCCCCCTCAATTCATTGACAGTTGTTGCTTCCGGACGATAGGCACAGGAGTCTTGTCCTTTGCAACAAAAGGGTGATCGGCTTGAAGCTGGAGATCTTCCCATTTGCTCTGTTTCACTTGCTTCTTCTTACTTTTCCAAGGGTCATCGATTTGCCAAGGATCAGCTGCTTGCATGGGAGATTCTGTACTGGCCTGACTCTCCATTCCACCCAAAGAGACAGCAGAACAGGGTTGCAAAAGATGAACTCCACCAACGAGGAGGAAGAGCCGTCGAATGTTCTCAGCAAAGGTACGCAGCATTGGTGGGGCACCAGCTTGCCGCCAAGCTTGGTTTGATTCTGCAATCACAGTGTCGATGATCTGCCTCTTGGGGTTCGGCACGTGGAAAGCATCAGGGAGACGTATGTCTGCAACCCATCCACACATACCAGGCCGCGTACGGTTGGTGTCAATGATGATGATTGGCCTGAATCCAAAGGGTATGATGTAATCCACGGCATAGTCATGCCAGAACTGCTGCTCCTTTGGAGGAACTTGGAGAAACACAGCACGGCATGTGTGCTCTTGGGCATTGCAAACCACTTGAATTCCAATCCAACGCCCTTCACGTAATGCCACAAAGCGCTGAACCTCAGGGTAGGGAACCTTGACTCCAGCTGCAATCAGAGAGAGGTCATGATGCAATACTGGTGGACAGAAAGATTCAGGCAGGAAGAACACCATGGCAAACTCAATCTCATCACTGGTAGCCCAGCCAGGGTGGGTCCGACAGATATTTAGGCGCATTCAAGCCATTCATCAGCAACAAAAGAAGATCTCCCGGATGTCATAGACAGGCAAGGGCCTGCCTGTAGCCCTTCGCAGGAGGTCAGTGGCCCTGCTCGGTGACGCAGTGATGGCAATGAGGAAAGCATTCCTGCACGCCCTAGCAAACTGAACCATTCTATCATCAGCTTGTGTGTCACGCCATACGAGATCAGCTTGATCAATAATCTGCATGACATGTGCTGTATATTGAGCCCGCTGGAGTCGCTGTGAACTCCGATGGGACTCAGGGAGCAGAGGTGCTCCCGCCCTGGCATAGAAGGTGCGAAGGGTGTACCAAGGCGCTAGCTCATTATCCTCTGCTGTGCGAATCCACCTGTAGGCATTCGGAGCAACAGGGATCCCCATGACATTGATAAGTTCAAGGACAGCATTTGTTTGCCTGATTGTAAGTTGTTCAGGCAAGTGGTACAGCACTCTCCACTGGCCCTCAAAGAACCGAACCTCAACAAAGATCCAATCAAAGACCACCAAGATCGGGACGACAAAGTGCTGGTAGCACCTCTGAAGGTCAGCTGGCTCAACAGGGAGCCGGAATTGTGACTCATTGTTCGCCCGGAGGCCTGGGGGGCACCAACATATTGATGGCATCAGGACTTGAAGGATGTCAAAATGGAAGACAACCTCATCAACCGCAAGCGCACCGGGCTCCAGATTGAATTGCAGCAACCTCGAGGCGATCTCATCATTGTGTATATTGCAGCTAGGGTGGTCTGAGAGCCGATCCATACCACCAAAGGCAATTGGCACGACATCTTGAACTCTGGTGTCACTCCACAGAACATCACCATTGATGAGCATCAGCGGCTCGTCACCCCTGCGTGCCACAAGGTTGCGCATTGCAATGTGGCACTGTTGTGCCAAGAACTCATCACACTGGCGTGGTGTAAGTGTGCGAGGAACTTGGCAAATTTTGCACCATCGCAAATTTTGACCTCCAGCCAGGAGAATCCACTTGTTGGGATGAATTGGATCATATGTGCCTTGAATGGCCATCACAACATGGACACCCAACAGGCGCTGACATGCCTCTCTATTGACCTTGAAGAAGTGAAGAGTGTTCCTGATGATGAAAAGTAGGTATACTTCCCAGTCGATCGAGGTTGGCGCCTTGGATCCATTCTGAGGTTCCGTCTTGTTGGAGCAGTAGAACTTTGGCAACCTGACGTGGGTCATCATCCTGACAAACATGCTCAGCTACATGGAAGAAGTCAGCTCGATGAGCATCCTGCAGACGATCAAACTCAGGGTCTGCATCTTCCTCATGCCACGGTTGCGTTGGAGAAACAATAGGGTCGTCTGGACGATCTCCAACATGGGTATGAATCACCCGGATTGTGCAAAGATCAAACGACCCCAACTTCACAAAGATGTCCCCCATGGGTAACGCACTCCATGGAACATCACTTGGGAGGGCACCTCCATCACCAGAGAGATGAATAAGGTGAGCATGGTGATCCGCAAGATCCAAGCTGGATAGAAGCTGGGCAACCACACCCGATGTCTCCGAGACATTGAGAGGAATCAAAGTTGCATCATCACAGAACCTCAGCAAGGTGTGGTTTACCAACCATGGCTGCCATGTAACTGCACTTGGGATTGCCTTTGCCACAAAGTCCGCCACCGGTTGAAGGACATACATGTCGTCACAGACTCTGATCATCGCCTTGTCGGAAGTGAGTCGATCCTCCCAGCACTGCTGTACTAGGGAGAGCTTCTGAAAGGACTCGCCTGAAATCCCAGCTGATGAAAAGCGGTCCGAAGTGCAACTGGCAGAGCAATAGAATCAGTTGTCCCAAACAGAGGCACAAAGACGAAAGGATCAATGAAACTGAACCAATCATCTCGCTGTGTCAGATTGGCAAAGATGCCCTTGGACTCAATGTGCTCTTTTTGCAGCAAGTGTTGAGCTGTGTACGAGGCACACAAGGTTGGTAGATATTCTCCCTGCATGACAAGCCGCTGTGCAAGGACTTGCTGGATGGTTGCATCTTCACTAACCCGGACTTTTCTAGCCGGTGGCAGCCAATTGCGATCCCCATAGATTTGCATTTGTGGGGGTTGCAAAACCAAATCATCAGCCAAGGCACTTGGGAGGGCATGTTGATGCTTGTTATCATCCCAGCTCAATCGTCGATGGATGGCGCAAACAAACCTGTCATGCAGCTTCTGGCATGGGATATCATGCCTGGACCACACTGCAAGCCACCGGGTGCGGTGGTTGGAGGTAAGCTGGTTGGTGAACAGCTACATCCTGCGACCCTAGCTTGCAATAACCCGCCAGTTGCATGGCAGCGGAAAGAACCCTCCAGTGTGGATGGGCTTCAATGCCATCAGAGCACTCAAACAGGGCCAGTACTGGCCGAACCCGAGATACATGTTCAACCGCATCCAGGAAGCAAAAACCTTCATCTGTTGCAAGGCCAGAGTGTTTGCCCCCTCGACTCCAGCTGGGACACGGAGGGGAGAGTGTCATCAACAGATTGGACTTGTTCGAAGAGACTCTGAGAAGGGTCACATCACTGATATCTGCAAGAAAGCCATTGAAGGTCTCCACCGAGTTGTAGGTTTCAGGGACCGGACAAGTCATGAACTGGACACCAATCAACTGAGGTGTGGGTTGCAAAAGCAAGTGTCAGGTTCGCCTGCTGCACCCACCACATCGCTCTCAACCAGCCCTCGTATGCTCCAGCGAAAAGGTGGGTAGCATTCCACGCAAGGCACCGATCAAAGGAAGAAATATTCCAGATGGGGACTGTAGTGTCCGCAGCCACCTTGTTGTGACTCTGTCTGTTGGACGGTTTGGTGTACATACCAAGCAGCATCCCTGGTGTAAAGTCAACTCGTCTGTGAACTGTCACGGGACAAATGATGTCAAAATTTGCCCACTGCTCACCCACTTGATCACCCTGCGAAGACAGCAAGGAAACACGTCGCAGCTGAGCCGAAAATGGGGGGCCATCACTGACTTCAACCACTTCACCAAAGAGCACCCAATCTTGATCAACATTGCGACATCCTCCAGTGGTGGCGATCGACACCAGTGCGGTGCACACCGTCTCAGCCAGAGTGAACGGAAGGCCCATAATAGCCCAGTCGATAAGTCCTCTTGCTGCCAATGACTCAGCATGAACCTCGTTGGCCTTAGAATCCATGGCACTGGCGTCGCCTCAGGGCTTCACCTCTATTGACACCCACCCTCCCCCCTGAGGAGGAGCAGCAGGCCCCGGCGCGTGCCAGCACGTGAGCTGTCCGGCTTTGGGCCGAAACAGCTGGGGGAGCTTCCTTGAAGTAGCGGGAGCTATCCTGCGTCCAGTAGCTAGTTTAGTAGCTTACCTCTTTCCTATAGTGGCCTTTCTTCACATTTTCCCACCAAATGCATCTTACCGCCAAGTATCTTTGGCAGGAACCAATCCTTGTCCAAGCACACCAGGAACCAGTGGGATCGCCTGCAAGCGGACGTCCTAAAGAAGCCACCTGCTTCTCTATTACCCTTTTTGGTTCATTGCTTTTGAGAACCGATCTTGTTCCTCTCTACTAGAACTCTGTAAATCGATCGTGGATACTTAATTACAATTGAGAGTGGATGGAATTCTGCAAAACCTTCGAGTGAGGGTCTGTTGTTACAGTGGTGTTTCGGAGTCATTCTTGGTTGTGAGAGTCCTCCAAATGCTGGACCGCAACATTGCTACTTGAACAAGAACTCCTGAATTATCGTGACGGGACTAATACTTTTCAGGGACAGGAAAACCGTCTGTGGGACCTGAGGGAATCTTGAAATCTAATTCATCGTAAGCAATGGAACAACCATGAATGTCAAATACCTATAAGATGTTTTTTTGCTGGGAATCGTTTCACCGGTAGTAACAAGAAGCTTTTTAGTATGTCTTTGAAGCTTCTTAGTAAAGATAGATGTTTACATTTGAAAACAAGAGCTTGCCTTCATCACAGGGCTTGGCTCCGGCTCTTTGGCTTCTTTGATCCTCAGCAAGAAGGCCAATTTGTATCATGGAAGTATGCGTATGCGTGCACCCACACACACACACCGGTTCATGGCTGATTCCTGTGTAGCACATGTCATCCAAGAGGAGGGCGACAACGTGGCAGCATTTGCGATCTGAGAGAAGAAGATACCCGGGGGTGTTCGACGCAACTTCACAGCTGTCGAGGTCTCTTGCTTCACCCGTCTGCTTTCTATCCTCTCCCTCTTGACCACCAGGGGAGCTGCCAAAGATATTCCTGGCATGAGTGGCTCTTTCTTGCATGTAACCTTCATCAGATCCATCTATGCCTCAACCTCCAGAGGCACTGGAGAACAACGAAATGGCGAAAGGTCACACGTCAGTTTGGACTTAATCCTTCTGCCACCTCCAGCTAGCACCAGGCACACTGCATCCTTAAGATAAGGCTATAAGGCACCGACAATGGCTTGATGGAAACGACCCGAGATCCAGCACTCAGTTCACTAAATGGCAACTCCTCCTTGCTTGAAGGGAGTTCCAAGAAAGCAAACGCAAATTTTTGACCAGTTGTCGAGCCTGACCTTGAAAAAATGATATCTAGAGGTTTCTTGTTCTGCAATTTTTGTAGTTTCCTTTCGACTTCCGGGGATGTAAATTGATCAAATCAGGTTGGGAGAGAGTCTGCGGGAACTACACTAGCTAGCCAAGCAAATCTGTCCTTCTTGATGGAAAGCCAATGATGAACCAAGATATCCAAATTACCAGCTAAATCAGCTAGGTTGGAGGCCATCGCTCTTGGGATGGAGGCCATCGTTATTGAAGGGTCAATTCCAGCAGTGAGCTTTGCCGACCACATCAACCCTGCCCCACAGCAATGCACTAGTTCCAAGGATCTCTTCCACAGGTGGTGGTGCTGGCACTTTTGCCAATGCAGCCGCCTCGACAACCTTCTCCTGGGAATTTGCGCAAAAAGACCGAATCCACAGCAACCTCAACTCCGGAAAAACCACCCCTCGCGTCACTCTTCTAGCCGACCTGCTCGACCTTTCGCAGCTTCGCGACGAGCTTCTCCGTCAGGGCAGGGAGCTGCTTCTCTCGGGCCTGGGCAACACGATTGCGACAAATGGGCAGTTCTCTTGCCGTTTTTAACGTTATCGGAGATTGCACGTCGCCTAGTGCTATTTGTGGGGGTTCCCGGTGACTTTGTCTGTGATCTACAACTTTATTGCAACCATGATGAGTAGTGTCTGTTCCTTTATGGGAACTTCCGCGCGAAAGGGGCGCACAGCCGCAAACCATTGTCACAGCAACAATCTCAAAGACTTGTCTGGCTCACCACCTGAGTTTTGTCGCGACACGTGCAATGAAGTTTGTCAGCCTTTGCTCTACTTTTGCATGTGTTGCCCAGTTTGTAGACCAATGTTTCTAGGGCCGATGAAGGTGGGCCCGTGTGCCATCAAAAACAACACAGCATCGGACACCATTGGATCAAAAATTCCAAACAACGAACCAGGCAAGTCCCCGCTTTGTGCCAACCGTGTGACGTCAAATAATCTTTGCAAAATTGACAACTGTCTGCCACACCTACGCCAAAAAATGGCATGTTTACTTCCAAGTTGGCAGGGCACCGGCCATTCGCGGTGGTTACTGTTGATCGACATATGCTTGATACACTGCAAAAAACTGGGGGTGTGGATGCCACGCTGAACCACCCGCCTCCTCGGGCAAACTTTTCAGGGTGTCTTCCGCCATTTGCCGAGCTTGTTCCTGGCAGAATCTGAGCAAACGACCGCAGGTGCTCGCCCACAAATGAATTGGTGTTGCTGCAGTTTCTGGTCATTCTTCCACGTGATATTGAACCACAATTCCACCTGTTATGCAGATTCTCGGTGGGTTTTCTTTGTCCTTTATCATCTTTCCCCGAGAGACATGAAGTACTTCCCCGGACATACATGCAGCTCGTGGCTTTTGGCGCCCATAAACGATGCATCCCCAATCATACAAGCGCATTCCTAGCTTCTCCAACCTTTGTGAAATGTTCTTGTCTCAGAAGAAACTCTGCTGCTTCACAAACCGAAAAGGAACGCTCTTATTCGCGCTTGCAGGGCTCGTTGCCTGGAGCTCCTTGTCGCTTTTCCGGGCGAAAGACTGAAGCACGGAGCCGCGGAGAAGGACGGAGCAAAGATTGGCAAAAACATGGTAGGCGCGCCCCTAAGGGGCCGTGTGTTTGTGATGGTTTTTTAACGTCTTGTTTTTAACGTTTTGTTTTGTAAGAATGGTGCACTCTCCCACGTTTTGGATGTTTTTACACGGAGAATGCTTTTGGGGAGGTGGCTAAAGTGCTGTAAAGGTTGCTCGGAACCTTCGTTTTTAGACGTTTCGCTACAGTTTCGAACACGGTTGACTACATGAGTTTTCCGGTCCAACAGTTTCGGAGTTCTTTTTATGTTCTCTATAGAAGCGCAAAGCGAAGCGACATGCGAAGCGAAGTGAAGCGACGTGCAACACAACATGCGACACGAAGCGACGCGAAACCGCCAACAACCAGAACAGCCCAAAGGTCCACGGACACAATGTGTACTTTTCGCGGTCACCGGACTTGTCCACACGCGTGGCCCAGATCTTGCCCATCTATGACGTAGCATCAAGTATGTTTGCAAGTACAAGTGACGTCATTAGAACCCC